TAGTAGTAGTAATAGTAAGTTATATTAGTAAGTAGTAGTAATAGTAAGTATTAGTAGTAGTAGTAGTAGTAAGTAGTAGTAGTAGTAAGTAGTAGTAGTAGTAGTAGTAAGTAGTAGTAGTAAGTAGTAGTAGTAGTAAGTAGTAGTAGTAAGTAGTAGTAGTAGTAAGTAGTAGTAAGTAGTAGTAGTAGTAAGTAGTAGTAGTAATAGTTGTAATAGTAAGTAGTAGTAGTAATGGCTAGTAGTAGTAGTAGTAATAGTAAGGGGTAATAGTAAGTAGTAGTAATAGTAAGGGGTAATAGTAAGTAGTAGAATTAGTAAGTCGTATTAGTAAGTAGTAGTAGTAGTGGTGTAGTAGTAGAAATAGTAAGTAGTAGTAGTGTAGTAGTAGAAATAGTAAGTAGTAGTAGTAGTAGTAATATTAACGGGTAATAGTAAGTTGTAGTAGTAGTAAGTAGTAGTACTAATAGTAAATAGTAATACTAATAGTAAGTAGTAGTAGTAGTAGTAGTAGTAGTAGTAGTAGTAGTAGTAGTAGTACATAACAATATTAGTAGTAGTAGTACATAGTAGCAGTAGTAGTACATAGTAGTAGTAGTAGTACATAGTAGTAGTAGTAGTAGTAGTACATAGTAGTAGTAGTAGTTGCGGCTGTGGCTTAGTGGTTAGAGCTGTCGTCCTCCAATGTGAGAGTTGGGTGTTCAAATCCACCAGCAGTCACGTGCTGAAGTGTCCCTGGGCAAGACACTGAACCCTTCATTGCCTCTGATGTGTGTCCCATCATTGTATGAATGTGAAAAAGCTCGTATTAGTCTTTTTAGAATGATTTGTTCAATTAGTTTTGTAAAGATCTAGTAGAGTGCTGTATGAATGGGTAATTGAGGACACAGATTGTACTGTAAAGCTCTTTGAGTATCTTGAAATAAGATAGAAAGGCGCTATATAAGTACAGTCCATTTACCATTTACCATTATTACATGCTTGTCAGAATCAATCAATCAATCAATCAACCTTTATTTATACAGGTAAATCCCATCCCAGAACTCATACAATGCCCTCGAGAGCATCTATCATCATACTCGCCGCCCTCCCCCCCCCCCCCCCCCCCCCTGCAGAATGTCTATATGTCTATGTCTCTATGTGCTTGTTTGTGCAAGGTGTTTATTAATGTCATAGTTTTTTCTTCTCAGGCTGGAAAAAAGTCTGGTAGGAATTTTTTTCGCTTCCAATTCCTACATGTGTCCATTTTATCACTTTTATTGTCCGTCCAAACAGGTCTCACTTGTAAATGAGACTTTGAGGCTCAGCGTGACTTATCTGTTTAAATTAAAGTTGAATGAATGAATGAAAAAGTAGTAGTAGTTGTCATTCACATCACATGTGGTACATGTAGTGGAGCAAAATTGTGTACACAGGGTCCCAATTACATCAAACAATAGCAAAATATAAATTGTAAAAAAAAACGGTAAATAAGGATCTGAGATATAAACAAGGGATATACACTAAATGAACACCAAACGGTACGTTAAAAGATCTAAGATATATGCCAGTCACTAACTGTGCAAAACATTACTCTGAACAACAGCAGCACGATTCTCATAGGTTCTGTTTGGCTATAATTTACACGGTTAATGCAAGCACTAACATAAACTAAACTAATATAAACTAGGATTTAATCAAAGCATGCAACAAAAATACAGAAACAATGCACCAAAAGTGAAAAATCAATAAATCTATAGCAGCATGGTCCTACTGGCAGAGTGGTTCTGATGACAGTGAGGTTTCTCTTAGCAACACAGTACCGTTGGCACCATGGTACTGTTAGTGGTGTGGTTCGGTTAGCGTCATGGTGATGTTAGCAGCGTTAGTAGGTTTTGTTAGCAGGTCCCTTCAGCAGCATCTTGATAATAAAGACCGCAGCAGCTGCCTCCTAGACTGCCCTCCAGAACCGGGTCCATCAGACGGATAACATCCAGGTTTCCCCGCAGAACCAAACGGGTCCATAGAGTTTGGTCCGTGCAGGCGGATGGAGGATCATGGAGACAGCCACCATGACAGGCCTGAACCCAAGGCTGGAATAACTGAACCACTATGTCAAGGCAGCGACACAGAAAACGCCACAATTGTGTCGCAGTCATGCCCGTACTGTGGATGTGCAGAGTAGGCGCAACAAAAAGTTAAAACAGAAACAACAGGAACAAAAAAAGATAAGAGTTCACCGGGAGCCTGTGAAGCTGCAACTCGGCTGAGCGTGTCCATCTTGGAACACATTTTGTGTGTAAGTTGCTGAAAAGAAGTTTAGGTGAGTTGCAGAGAAGAACTCTCTGGAGAGAGAAGCAGTCTCTTGGGAGAGAAGGAGAAGCAGTCTTGATGGAAGAAGTTGTCTGAAGCTGGCTGGATGGTTGCACGAGAGCTGCAGAGAGTTGGCTCTGAGCCAGTCGGATGAGAAATGGAAGAATCCACGAAAAGCTCAGACACCCTGAGAGTGATACCCACAGAGCTGGAAGAGACGTGGTCCGTAAAGGAAAAAACATTCCCTCAGGTCATCATATCCACTGTGGTAATGAGAGATGGACGCCCACCTGGTCGGACAAACATCTTCCTTCTGATGATAAACATCTCTGTGCCAACTCGAGTTCTTTAGACATAATTAGTTCATGAATCTGAGATAAAGCTTACCTAAATTTTAACGTTGGAACTAAAACCTTAGTCCAAATTGAATATACCTCTTCTCAAAGTATTTATGATTTACATCGCTATTGAATGTATATGAATATGAATTGCGCCGATCAAGGTGGCTGCATGTTGGAGCAGCTCTGTTACTTTCATTCTGAGATTTTGCTTTTGGAAACTTTAATTCCTCTTTTTCTGGATGTAAATCACATTTTTTTTAATGATTGTTTCCTCTGGTATCGGATGCTGTGCAGCTGGAAGGATTTGTACTGAAACTTTTTTAGTTTAAGACATTTGTTATGATGCATAACCATGGCAACAAGACCATTTTCTACAACCAACAGCAGCTGATTAACATCTCAAAAGCTCAAATAATATCTCAACTACAGCCCCAAATCTCAAATGAGATGAAAAGGATGTTCTGTGGATGCATTCTCATCTACCTGCTAGCTGTGTTCGAGTGCCTGACCACTGAGACCCTGGAACTAGCAGGAAATACGGCTCATGACAGCGGAAGGACGGACTCATCCCTCGGCACCTACAGTTGGCTGTCCGCAGCAATGAGGAGCTCAGCAGACTGCTGGGAGGAGTGGCCATCGCTCTGGGAGGAGTTCTGCCCAGCATTCGGGCTGTCCTACAGCCTGGGGGAACCGAGAGGCCAGCCGAGTCTGGGTGGACGAATCGGACGGCATCTGCAGCCAGTTTCTTAGGATCCACTGTGGGATGGACCTTTACAAGAGATCCTTCCTGTTTACAGCCATCAGGATCTATAACATCTCTTAATGAAACCAGGATAACGAGTTACAACAACAAATAATTTCCCTTTGGGATTAATAAAGTATTTTTGAATTGAATCATTCACTTTCTGAAATGCTATTAGTTATTCATCCATGTTTCATATTTGCTATAAATCAAGGGCGTCAGAAGCATCCGTAATGTGGGGGGGACACAATGATGTGTATAGGTGTGTGTGCGCGCGTGCATGTGCATGCGCGTTAAAGAAAGGTGTTCAATAGTGTACATAAAAGCAACATTTCACCTAGATTTCCTTTAATTCCACACATTTAAAACATGTTTCTCACCAAGTTTGTGTAAATTCAGCTGTGGGTTTAAAGTAATTTTAACTTTAATACAGAGTGTCAGATCTGCGCTATTTGTCTTTATAGAGAAATAAAAAATATCACCACTAGACTTTTTTACTTGTGTTCAACACTCATCCATCCATCCATCCATCCATCCATTTTCTTCCGCTTATCCGGGGTTGGGTCGCAGGGGTAGCAGCCTAAGTAGGGAGGCCCAGACTTGCCTCTCCCCAGCCACTTTGGCCAGCTCTTCCGGGGGAATCCCGAGGCGTTCCCAGGCCAGCCGAGAAACATAGTCCCTCCAGCGTGTCCTGGGTCTTCCTCTGGGCCTCCTTCTGGTGGGACGTGTCCGGAACACCTCACCAGGGAGACGTCCAGAAGGCATCCTAAACAGATGCCCAAGCCACCTCAACTGGCTCCTCTTGACGTGGAGAAGCAGTGGCTCTACTCTGAGTCCCTCCCGGATGATCGAGCTTCTCACCCTGTCTCTAAGGGAGAGCCCAGACACCCTGCGGAGAAAACTCATTTCGGCCGCTTGTATCCGAGATCTCATTCTTTCGGTCACAACCCAAAGCTCGTGACCATAGATGAGGGTAGGAATACTTTTTGGACCCATGAGGAGTATGTCAGTTTTGTCAGTGTTTAATTTGAGAAAATTGTGCTTCATCCAGATTTTGATGTCAGTTAAGCAGTGGGTGAGGGTGGAGTGGATATTGGGGTTTATGGATGTAGTAAAAATGTAAATCTGTATGTCATCAGCGTAGCAGTGGAAATGGAGACCATGATGATGGATGATATTGCCAAGGAGGATAATGTAGAGGATGAAAAGGAGAAGAACAAGCATTGAACCCTGGGGAACACCCTGGGATAGCAGGGTTATGGAGGAGGAGAAGCAGTTGATATGAGTAAACTGTTGCCAGTCTGTGAGGTAGGACTGAAACCAGGACAGATCTGGTCCATGTCTGTTCGGATGGACGCTTCTCCATCCATCCATCCATTATCTTTTACCCACTTCTTCCATTTTGGGTCACGGGAGTCACCGGTGCCCATTTCCGGCAATCACTGTGCGAGGGGCGGGTTACACCCTGGACAGGTCGCAAGTCCATCACAGGGCCACATAGAGACAAACGAGACAAACAACCATCCACTTTCTCACTCACACCTAGGGACAATTTAAAGTTACCAATCAGCCTAACATGCATGTTTTTTTTTTTTATCTGTGGGAGGAAACCGGAGTACCCAGAGAAAACCCCCGCATGCACGGAGAGAACATGCAAACTCCACCCAGAAAGGCTCCTGGACCGGGGTTTGAACCAAGGACCTGCTCGCTGAGAGGCAGCAGCTCTACCAGTTGCGCCACTGTGCTGCCCGGATGGATGCTTCTCATTTTGAAAAATAAAATGAAATATAAAAAGGCCAGCATAAATGAAGCAGCATAACAGCATAAATGAAGATACTTTGTTTGTAAACTGAATTGTTGCACCTTTAAGTTAGCGTTACTGCTATATTTTTAGCCACAATACAATATTCTTGTTTAAAAATATGTTGTTTTAAAATAAGTATTTCATACCCAGGCAACAGGGCAAACATATCTATCACTGGCTATAAATGTCACAAACTGGTTTTTGGATTCTTAATAAGCCAGACACAGGAGTGCAAAAACAAGAACAATTTTTATTAATTAGGCTGCTGGTAGCTGGAGTCAGGGTCCAAGGCAGGAGTCCAATCTTAATAGACAGAGAGGGAAAATGGGGCAATGCAGGGTCATGGTCCAAAGGGTCAAACGCAGGGAGTCAGAGGTCCAACAAATAATCCAAAAAGGGTGTTCCGTGAATCGTGGTCATAGAGGCAGAGGAGGAGGTAATTACCGTTATCAGAAGGACAGAGCAGAACCAGACGTGGAGCAGGCAAAAGGGTAAATCCACAAGACAAGGCTTGAGGTTGAAAATCCAAATACAGGGCATGAACATCAAGCATGAACAAGAACAAGATGGCTGGATATCAGGGACCATGGAAGGTATAATAATTTGGCACTGGTGGAGAGGGAGAATGGAGCTTATAAAGGGTGCAGAGCAGGTGAACTAGATGAGCTGAAGCAGGTGAGTGGAATCAGGGTTGATTGCAGTGATAAACAAGGGAAGTGTGGCATGGCTTGGAAGGAGTAGGCTTGAGCTGGGGATGGGAGATAGGCATTGCAAAGCAAGGAAGAGAAACTATGGCACGAGGGGCTGAAACAATACCAGGAGGGAGTGAGTGAGAGACCGGGGCCAATGGGGTAGGGGGTCAGCGGTGACCGCTGACCATTACAATAACATATAGGGTTATCTTTGTATGTTTACTTATTTGTAAGAATAACATTTTGCAAATGGGACTATTGTGTCTCAACATGACTAATGTAACAAATGAAGGAAAAAAAAAAATCACTTTAGCTACTTTAACTTTCCCCCTCATGAGTTTTGATCTGTAAATGTCTGAACAATTTAAATCCAATCTCAGACATGCAGAATTCCACCTTGACAGAGCACAACCCACATTTTTTAACAGTCTCTCAGGTGTTGTTCCGGTTTGGCTCTAACAGTGTGTTAGGTGTTGTTCTGGTCCTTCTCTAACAGTCTGTTAGGTGTTGGTCTGGTCCATCTCTGTGTGTCTGGTGTTGGTCTGGTCCGTCCCTAACAGTCTGTCAGGTGTTGTTTCGGTCCATCTCTTACCAGTCTTTTAGGTGTTGTTCCAGTCTTTATACAACAGTCTGTCAGGTGGTGTTCTGGTCCGTCTCAACAATCTGTCAGGTGTTGTTTCGGTTCGACTATTACCAGTCTGTTAGGTGTTGTTTTGGTCCATTATTAACAGTCTGTTAAGTGTCGGTCCGGTCCATCTATAACAGTCTGTCAGATGTTGTTCCGGTCTGTATATAACAGTCTGTCAGGTGTTGTTCGTCTCTGACAGTCTGTCCTATGCATTTCTTACAGTCTGTCATCATGGTTAATCGTGTCCATTATTATCGTGATGAAGCTTCTTCAATGGGCCGGCACACCTACAGCACAGATGAAAACTTTCAGCCTCTCACTCAACCCTATTTGATACAAACTCTGTCTTATCCTAATCTGATGTTCCCTTGCAGCTGTGGTTCTCCCCAAGACTGAGAAGTTGCTGAAGGTGAGCATCCAGCCGTACATCAGCTCTATTTTGGATGCTCTGATGGAGCCCACCAGCCGAGGATTTTCTGAGGTCCGAGAAGTCTTCTTCAAGGAGTTGGTGGAAATGAGCAAGAACTCCCTCAATAATGGGACTAAGGAGACCTTGGCACAGGTGAGGAGGAAAGAGTAAGGGCTTTTGAGTCTGTTCATTTTGTAGTAGAGTGCTGTATGAATGTGTGTCTGGTAGAGTGCTGTATGAATGTGTGTGTAGTAGAGTGTTGTATGAATGTGTGTGTAGTAGAGTGCTGTATGGATGTATGTGAAGTAGAATGCTGTATGAATGTGTGTCTAGTAGAGTGCTGTATGAATGTGTGTCTAGTAGAGTGCTGTATGAATGTGTGTGTGTAGTAGAGTGCTGTATGAATGTGTGTGTAGTAGTGCTGTATGAATGTGTGTGACGTAGAGTGCTGTATGAATGTGTGTGACGTAGAGTGCTGTATGAATGTGTGCGTAGTAGAGTGCTGTATGAATGTGTGTGTGGTAGTGCTGTATGAATGTGTATGTAGTAGAGTGCTGTATGAATGTGTGTTTAGTAGAGTGCTGTGTGATTGATTGTGGAGGTAAATAAAGGTACAGATTGTGTTTGTAAAGAGCTTTCACTATCCTGGTTGGATAGAAAGGAGTTGTATAGTACACTCCTTACATTTCAATCTGTGTGAACTTTTTTCTCAGCACATGGAGAAGATCTCCATGCTGGCTTTCCATCCGGTGAAGATGCAGAGCTGTTATGAAAAGGTTGAGCAGCTGAGCCTGGAGGGTCTGCAGCAGAGGTTTGATGTTTCTAGCCCCTCAGTGTTCATCCAAAGAGCACAGATCCTCATGAGAAAGGTGACTTGTCTGCTGTGTTCTGTTTGTTCTGTAGCATCTTCAAGTCTGGAGGGAAATAATTGACCTGTGTCATTGTTTTAGATTGCATCTGAATGAATACCCACTTCCTCACCAAGTGTGCGAGATGTACCATTTGCAGCTACTGTAGAAACATAACAACAGAAAGAGAGGTGCTGTTGGGAGCAACAGCTCAGATCCAGAAAACCAAATCTCAGTTCAGCTGGTTGTTTAAGACTGTCATGAAAGTTAAACTCGTGACCTGAAAGCCCCACACAAGAATTTATTTCTTATACTGCTGCTTCAGAAAGTTCAGTTCCTTTAGGTCATGGCATCAGTTCAGTTAAAGTCATCTCGGGGGAACAGTGCAAAACAAAAAGACAAGTCTGAATTATAAATCTAACTGATCCAGATTCAAATCCAATTAAAGCTGCAAGCAGCATTGAAGGCCCTCGCAGCAAAATGTCGCTCCGGCCTTACTGCGACCGCGGGAGCTCCAGCTAGTCCACCCATTCGCCATCGCGAACGTTCTCGTGTCAATCCCACACGTGTTCACCACGGGGCGCATTTCCCAAATCTTTGATATCACCTTCCGTCCATGTCGTTACTTGTCCAGCTGCAGGTCTTACAAGTATAGGCGGAATCCGATCTTCCAGACAATAGTTATGGTGACTTCCTGTTTTCTTGCAAATGTTTGACAAGCACTTCCTTTATGCTTTTCAACATGTCATGTGTGGTAATCAACAGTTAGCGAACAAAGTTTCAGTCTAATTTCTTACACAGTGTGAAGCTGGAAGTGTCATCCAATAATCATCAGATTTTTCTCTGAGTAGGTGGGGCTTAAGTGATGTCATCAATCAACAATACCAGTGTGTCTACATGTGTTCACTGATGAAGCACAAAAACTCAGGATCAGATTGGATGATGTATCACTGAGATATAACTTTTGGAATAATCTAGGGGCGCACTTGAGTCAAACGTTAAATAACAACACATATGTATATAGAAGTGCTCACTGATCACGCACAAAACATCTGGTAAAGATCGGATAATTTATCATTGAGATATAACCGTTTGAATAATGTAGGCGGCATACTTGAGTCAAATGTTAAACAACAATACCAATGTGTCTAGAAATGCTCACAGATGACGCACCAAAAATCTGTTGTGGATAGGATGATGTATCATTGAGATAAAACTGTTGGAATAATCTAGGGGGCGCACTAGAGTCATATGTTAAACCACAATATCAATGTGTCTAAAAGTCCTCACAGATGACGCACACTAAACATCTGGTGCAGAATGGATGTTGTATCACTGAGCTATAACTTTAAGAATAATGTAGGTGGTGCTGTGGAGACTATTGGCCACTTATCATGGATACCTGTTCAAGGGGTGGATAATGATTGATCATAGTGATTTTGGAGCACCTCTGCTGAAATCTGTGCAATTTAGAGCCAAACGTATAGCAACGGCGTTGCATCTTAATTTATCACGCCGCCACGCTCACATCCTAAAGCAAAAACGGTTTGTGCTTTAAATCAAGTCGGACCATATTATCTGTTTTCTAACACAGGATCATCCTGATTAGGTCAATGGTGTCAAAGAGGGAACATTCCAAGTTAAAAAGTGACTTCCTGTTCCAAGGGGCTGGGCTTTGATGACGTCAAAATATGACCACAATGGATTGTTGGGCATCCAACAGGGATGAGTCTTGTCACGTTTCATGCATTTCTGTCTTTCAATGTGAAAGTTATATTGTTTGGAAATTTATGGAGTGAAGCGAAACTTTGAGGCCTGGCCACTCCCCACAAGCTTTAGATAACTTTTACTCTCCAATGTCTTAAGGGCATATTAACCAAGTTTGAAGGCAATCCTTCAAGATTCCTAGGAGGAGTTTGTTAAAATTCGCAAGTAGAAACACCCAAAAATGACCCTTTGACCCAAAATGTCCGACTTCCTGTTGGTTTTGAACCGGGACTCCAAGAGACTTTTTCATAGGTCCTGAGAAGACACAGATGTTCACCGAGTTTCAGAATTATTGGTCCAAAAATGGCTTGGGGCTGAGGTTTTAAAATATTCTAGGAGGCACTGTGGAGGCTAATGGCTACTTATCATGGCTTCCTGTTCAAGGGGTGGATAATAATCTCTCATACTGATTTTGGTGCCCCTCAGTTCAAAACTGTGGAATTTAGAGCCAAACATATGGCGACTGCATTACGTCTTACTTCACCACGACGTGCTGCTCACATACTCCACCCAAAACTGTCAGTGTTGGAAAGCAAGTTACACCAACATGTCTTCGGTCACTGGACACACTATCATGCTGACCAGGTAACAGGGGTCAGATAGGGTTCGTTCAACGTAAAACTTTATACTTACTGTTGTCAGGGGGCGTGGCTTAAGTCATGTCATGATTTGACCATTCAGTCTTGCAGGTGACTGGATGTGAATCAGTCACTGAAGGTTTTTATGTCTCAGACAGTTTTCGTGTAGGAGCTATTAGCGTTTCGTTTTTCACGGCGAGATGCCAAACTTTGAGATCTGGCCTTGCCCCTTCAGCATGCACGAAAATGCAGCATTTTGAAAACTTTTCGTCCCCCATGCCTTTTGACCAAAACGGCCAAATTTGAAACCGATTGAGCGAAATTCCTAGGAGGAGTTTATTCAAATGCGGAGACTGTAAATCCCCAAAATTGTGTGAAAATTGGGCCGGCATTCCAAAATGGCTGCATTCCTGTTTTTTTTTTTTAATACTTTATTTTTATCAATTTTTAAAGTTTTTAATACACACACATGCCCGGAACAGTCAGATCCCCCTTTAACATAAAACACAGAGCATTCAATTTGACAGATGCAGTCATGTAATACTCAGCAAAAAGCAGTAATTACATCTATTAACTATTGTTATCAATCGTTACAAAGGTTTCAGTTTCTTCCAATATTTGTTGTATTTGTGAGTAGCAAGTCTTAACGAGAAAGTCAGTCTCTCCATTGTGTGGATTTCTTCGACTATTTCCCTCCAGTCCGAGATCGATGGCGGTTCCGGGTATGTGTGTGTATTAAAAACTTTAAAAATTGATAAAAATAAAGTATTAAAAAAAAAAAACAGGAATGCAGCCATTTTGGAATGCCGGCCCAATTTTCACACAATTTTGGGGATTTACAGTCTCCGCATTTGAATAAACTCCTCCTAGGAATTTCGCTCAATCGGTTTCAAATTTGGCCGTTTTGGTCAAAAGGCATGGGGGACGAAAAGTTTTCAAAATGCTGCATTTTCGTGCATGCTGAAGGGGCAAGGCCAGATCTCAAAGTTTGGCATCTCGCCGTGAAAAACGAAACGCTAATAGCTCCTACACGAAAACTGTCTGAGACATAAAAACCTTCAGTGACTGATTCACATCCAGTCACCTGCAAGACTGAATGGTCAAATCATGACATGACTTAAGCCACGCCCCCTGACAACAGGAATTGTCAAGTCTTACCTTGAACTGTCCCTATCTGACCCCTGTCACCTGATCAGCATGATAGTGTGTCCAGTGACCGAAGACATGTTGGTGTAACTTGCTTTCTAACACTGACAGTTTTGGGTGGAGCGTGTGGGCATTGTGACGTGGCGAAGTAAGATGTAACGGCGTCGCCATACGTTTTTCTCTAAGCTCCACAGATTTGAACAGAGTTGCACCAAAATCGGTATGATTGATCATTATCCACCCCTAGAATTGCGCCGATCAAGGTGCCTGCATGTTAGAGCAGCTCTGTTACATTCACTTTGAGATTTTGCTTTTGGTAACTTTAATTCTTCTTTTTCTGGATGTAAATCACAATTTTTTTGGATGATTGTTTCCTCTGGTATCAGATGCTGTACGGCTGGAAGGATTTTTACTGAAACTTTTTTAGTTTTGGACATTTGTTATGATGCGTAACCATGGCAACAAGGCAGTTTTCTACAACCAACAGCAGCTGATTAACATCTCAAAAGCTCAATATCTCATTTACAGCCCCAAGTGAGTTGAAAAGGATGTTCTGTGGACACATTCTCATCTGCCTGCCAGCGGTGCTCGAGTGCCTGATCACTGAGATCCTGAAACTAGCAGGAAACACGGCTCATGACAGCGGAAGGACAGGATCATCCCTCTGCACCTACAGTTGGCTGTCCACAGTGACAAGGAGCTCAGCAGACTGCTGGGAGGAGTGGCCCTTGCTCTGGGTGGAGTTCTGCCCAGCATTTGGGTGGTCCCACAGCCCGAGGGAACCGAGAGGCCAGCCGAGTCTGGATGGACGGATCGGACGGCATCTGCAGCCAGTTTCTTGGGATCCACTGTGGAATGGACCTTAACAAGAGATCCTTCCTGCCTACAGGCTCAGTATCTATAACATCTCTTAATGAAATGAGGATAACGAGTTACAACAACAAATAATTTCCCTCTGGGATTAATAAAGTTTTTTTTAATTGATTTGAATTTAATTGAACAGGAAGCCATGATAATTGCCCAATAACCCAACCCCTGGAATATTTTAAAACCTCAGCCCCAAGCCATTTTTTGACCGATAATTCTGAAACTCGGCGAACATTTGTATCTTCACAAGACCTATGAAAAAGTCTCTGGGAGCCCTGGTCCAAAATCAACAGGAAGTCAGCCATTTTGGGTCAAAGGGTCAATTTTGGGCGTTTCTACTTGCAAATTTTAACGAACTCCTCCTAGGGAATTTGAAGGATTACCTTCAAACTTGGTTAACATGCCCTTAAGACATTGGAGAGTAAAAGTTATCAAAAGCTTTCGGTTTTGTTTTGTTAAAGGGGCGTGGCCAGGCCTCAAATTTGCGCTTCATGCCATAAATTTAAAAACGGTATAACTTTCACATTGAAAGACCGAAAAGCACCAAAACTTGGCATTACTCATCCCTGTTGGATGCCTGACGATCTACTCTGGTCATATTTTGACGTCATCAAAGCCCCGCCCCCTCAGAACAGGAAGTCTCTTTTTTTACTTGGAATGCTC